GTCGCCCCCCCCCTCCCTCTGGGCCCTTCGGTCGCCGCCCCGCCGGGCTGCTCACCCTCCATCATCTCCTGCGACAGTTGCTGGCCCGCGCCGTGCTCCGCCGCCATGTTGGCTGCTCTTCCCCTTTCCGGAATTTGTCGCCTCAGGCCCCTCAGCCAATCAGGACTCCAAGCTCGGAGTTTTCCCAGCCAATGGAATCCCAGCGCAGGGGTGGCTGAACCTCAACGCGCCTGCGCGGCCCCAGTACCTCATGGGAGTTGTAGTTCATTCCTGAGGACGGCCGCCTGACCTCCGCCGGACAAGTAATTTAAGAACGCCCGTAGGTGTCGAGGCGAGGAGCGGGGAAGAGGGCAGGGACTGGCGAAGTGCACGCACGGAGCCGTAGCTGCAGGCGAGCGGAGAGAAAAATCTGAGCTGTCTCGTAGCGGATCTCTGCGTGGGGCTGCAAAGTGCGGACTTCCAAGCCTCATCAACCGCGCCTGCACAATGGGCTGAATTTGTCCCGGCGTCGCCGCGCGGACTTAGCCTCTGTAAAGGGGCCTCCTCCAGTTAACGCTCAGCTCAGGGCGGGCTCAGCGCGGGGCACCCGCGCTCGTGCTGGGGGCCGACTGCGCCGCAGGTTCTGAGAGAGCCGGTCGAGACCCCGGACGCCGACCCAACACAGGCAGCCCCGCCTCCAGGACGAGGCAGCCGCGAGGCGAGCTCCGCGCTGCTCATCCTTCTCAATTCCGAGAAAGAAGGAACCGGCGACTGCCGGACCGGGTTGGAGGAGGCGCTGGCGCCTCTCAGGCGCCGTAGGAGCCTGGTGCGTCCTTAGCTACCGTTAGCGCGGGCTTCCCCACTCAGGCTCGCTAACTCCCGTCCACAGGAGCCAGTGGTTGGCCTATGGGACCTGTCAATCGGCGTGAGTTGCTCTACGATTGGCCGGCAGGACTGGAGGGGAAGAACGGTTTCCTCGTGGCGGGGTTACTCGGTCGGGTGTCGTTCGTCGGCTCCAGGTGAGATACCTGCGCCCTGGAGAGGTGGCCCGGGCTCCGCGGGGCCCCAGCTCGGCCCTGGGATGAGCCAACCTGAGTGCTATGTCCCCGCCGCTGCCGGCTCCCCTCCGTGCAGCGCCGGCTCCCCTCCGTGCGGCTCCGGCTCAGGGGGTGGCCCGCCGTCCTGCGGCCGTTTGTCCCGGGCCCGGGCCTCCCTGGTCCTCCGCGTCTCCGCTTCTGCCCAGCCCTTCCCGCGCTCAGTCCTCCCCTGGAGTTAACTGTGCGCTTTATCCATGATCATTGCCTGCCTCCGGGAAGGTGAGCTCTAGAACCGAGGCCGTGTCTGGCTCAGCTGCGGACGGTGCCAGGCACGTAGGAGCTTTTCAGTAAAAGTGGGATGAATGCGTGAGCTGTGGGTACAGACCACGGCTTCCCGACATCTTCACTTGGATGTCCCAAGCACGCCCGGCTTTCTCCTTCACCAGTGTTTCTTTTCCAGAGAATGGCAGTGGCCTGCGTTGAAAACTCGTGATGTGGTCTTGATGCCTTTCATTCCCTCACCTCATCACCCAGAAAAATCGATGGTAGTTTTATGTCGAGTTTTTTCTTAAGGGTTCCCTTCGCCATCTTTCTGCTATTGCTTTCATTTCAGACTTCATAATTTCTTGCCTGGATTACTGTAACCTTTCTCTCCGCATCTCCCCCGACCCTTGCCCTTGGAGTGATCTTCATGAAATGTGTGTCTGGTCTTGTTGCATAGAGGCCATTAAAGTGAATCTTAGGGATGAAATCCAGACTGCTTGGGCAGGCCTAAGGGGCCCTGGGAGTTATGCCTGGCTACTCCTTCCCAAGGGCTGTGGGCATCTTTGACCTGTGGTGGTTCTGCCTGGAAGGCTTATACCCTCTGCAGTGCCTCCTGGAGGAACCCCTTGCTTACACCCTCTGTTACAGCAGCCGTTGTCCTGGGTATTGTTTAGGATGCTTGGTGCAAGAAAAAGACAGTCTTTGAGACACAGTCTCAAAATGGCTCTGACGGCCGATAAAGTCGTTGGCCCCCAAACCTGCAGTCCAGAGGAAGGTAGATTTTAGGGTGGGTTCATTGGTGGTGCACAGTGACGTTCTTGCCATCTTCTGCTCTGCTGGCCACGTGTGGGCTTCATCCTGAGGCTGGTTCTGCTCTTGGTTGTACAGCAGTGGTGGGGGCAGTTGGAGCTATTTGCTTCCTAGCTTGTGTTCTAGTGGCACAAAGATGGTTGCTTCCAGAAGTTCACCCATAAGAGGAAGGAGTGCTTTCCAAAAGTTCCCTGCAATGCTCTCCTTGTTTTTGTTTGGTTTGAGCAGGGTCACTCACACCTTCTGGAATCAAAACTGGCAACAGGAATAGGATTATTCTAAGGCCGTGGTCGGCAAGCCGCGGCTGACGAGCCACATGCAGCTCTTTGGCCCCTTGAGTGTGGCTCTTCCACAAAATACCACGTGCGGGCGTGCACATACAGTGCTATTGAAACTTCGTGGCCCATGCGCAGAAGTCGGTATTTTGTGGAAGAGCCGGTATTTTGTGGAAGAGCCACACTCAAGGGGCCAAAGAGCCACATGTGGCTCGCGAGCTGCGGTTTGCCGAGCCACAGTTTGCCGACCACTGTTCTAAGGCATCATGAAGTCCTCTCTGTGTTCAGCTTCCCATGATAATCCCTCTTCACTCTGGTCCCCACACCACGACCCCAATACCAAACTGCCATTGCTTAAAAAAAAAAAACTATTCTAAATACCTAGGCCTGGACTTGCACACAGTTCTGGTTGCTGTTTGACTCAAAATTAACCCTGAGAAAAGGAAGTGATCTACAGTGGTGTGAAGTCGAGCTCTGTGCTCAGAGGCCAGAGGCCCTAGTCCCTGGGGTTGGGATATGCCGTGCAGTGCCAAGCTGGCCCACGAAGGACCACAGCAGTGCAGGAAGCACAAAGGGAAAAGGATTTGTCTTTCCCACATCTGCTGGTTTATCAGTTTAAGACTAATTATTTCTTTGCATGAAAGGCAAAATTTCTTGCCCTTATGGAGGCTTCACATTTCCTTCCCCCCCAACCCCCCTTGTTACTTTTACAAAGTAAAGTTTTGTAACATTTACAATGTAAGTCTGAAGCTGTAATCAAGTCTTCTGTGTTTTGTCTGTAGATTGGTTGAAGAAGTAGAAAACTAGGATCATGTCATAATTACTTATAGAAATTATTAGAGACATTAAATATTGCTATTTGAACAAAAGCAGTACATTCTGAGGGTTTCTTATTTAATTTCTTTCTAGCTTCCTACTCATTCAGCTGTTGCTTTTCAGGATCCCATGCTGGATGTATATGTGTATATAAAATGTCTCTGAATCTTTAGTACGTACAGTTGCCTCATACAAAAGGATAAATGCAGTATCAGTTGTGAATCATAACAGTAAAGTGAACCATTTAAACCCGCCACCCAAATTTGGAACCAGGGGACCCTATGCCATTGTGTCCTTCCTCACCATGCCAGCTTGTTGCTGGACCCACAGAGGGAACCTCTGCCTGAAGTTTGGATGATGCAGGCTCTGGGTGGGCGTGTCGCCCGGGCCCTATGACTCCTCACTTCTCAAGGCCCTGGTCCAGGCCTCTAGGCAGTTTTTCTGTAGTTACATAAGATGTAACCATCGGAGGAAACTCAGTGAAGGCCATGTAGAATTTTTCTGTATTTTTTTTCTTATATCTACATGAAAATCCACAAATAACTAAAAATAAAAAGTTCAAAACATAAATCTCGGCTGTGGTGCATCTCTAGACACTCAGCCTTGGCCTTACATTGCTATGTTTTTAGAAGTTCCGTGGGTGATTCGGGTGCAATTGGTTGGACCCATCTGATTCATGGCATTGATAACGTTCCTCTTGATCTGAGAGCATTTTCAGTTCTGTGACCTGCAGCCCAGTCTTCCCCTCGGCCCTCTCCCACTCTGGTCCATTTTCCTCTTTTTCTTCTTTCCCATCTCTTCCTGTGTATGCCACTAGAGCTCCTTTTAGCAGGACTTTGGTTCAACTATCCTCATGTAGATTTTGACCCAGAGGGCAGTTGGGTGTGTGAGCCTTTTGGGGCTGAGCTTAACGCAGCCTTGGGAAGAATTACTTGGTTAAACTGTCTTCGCCTTCTTGCATTGCAGATGTTGATTAGGGTCTCCTTGTTTTCTAGTTGACAGCTGTTCCACGGCCTACCATCTCTCAATGGAGGACAGAGGCTCACCCGCCTTGGAAAAGGACTGGAGGTGTCTGTGTGGGAACCCATCCTCGTTGGCACCCTCTGAGGGCCCTGCTGTGCAGACCTCCCCCCAGCTCAGCAAGTCTGTGTCCTCGGCCCACAGACACCTGAACAGAAGGAATGGGCTCTCGAAACTCTGCCAGAGCAGGATGGCACTCTCTGGTGACTACCTCCTTGTGGTCATGTGGGCATCTCGTCTCTGTTCTTGCAGAGACAGGTGTAGGTTTAGGTGCTCTGTGTACTGGCCAACTATGCCGCACGTCTTTCCTGGTGTGTCTGTTCATGAGATTCTTAGGAAACTCTCCTTTTCAGGAAGCAGTTGGAATTCTCTACATTTCAGGATTAAATTAAAGCAAAATATCATCTCTTACTTCAGAGTGTGGGGAACACTGTCCTGGGCTGGGCTGCATTGCAGGTGAGACACAGATTTGCTAGTTTAGCTCAGCCAGTACCTACTGACTGCACTGCAGGCTCAGGCTTTCCTGGACCCGGGCAGAGCAAACCAGGTGGGGACAGCCAGCTTCACAGCTGTGGTGGGTAGGGGTGCCAAAGCCCAGACACAGCAAGGAAGAAAGGGTTGCTCTGCCTTTGAGGGGCTTGTCTTCTGTAGGGGATGGGGGGCAGGGGTGCTGCTTCAGGAGACAGCAGGGTCCACCCTAGAACCTGGGTGGGCCTGGAACACAGGGATGTTAGGACAGTGGAGAGATGGCAGGGAGCCAGAGATGGGTGCAAGGGAGAGAGGATGGGCCCGGTTTTGAGGAAAGAGCAGTTTGACAGAGGGGGGCTGGGGGTCATGAGGCAACCACCCCTCAGGACTGGGCGTCAGCCAGGTGCGCTGGCCCAGGGATGGGGCATTCAGGAGCAGAGGCAGAGCTGGCGCCACAGTGTCTGTCCCAAGGTGTGAGGTAGTGGAGCTGACCTTGGGCTCCTGATCTGATGAGGCCACTGAGAAGGTGGAGGCTCCTCAGTGAAGGACCCAGAGGGGATAGGAGGGTGACTCTTTTTAAAAAAAAAAATATTTTATTGATTTTTTACAGAGAGAAAGGGAGAGGGGGATAAAGAGTTAGAAACATTGATAAGAGAGAAACATCAATTTAGCTGCCTCCTGCACACTCCCTACTGGGGATGTGCCCGAAACCAAGGTATATGCCCTTGGCTGGAATCGAACCTGGGACTCTTCAGTCCTCAGGCCGACGCTCTATCCATTGAGCCAAACCAGTTAGGGCGGAGGGTGACTCTTGTTTGGTTTTCGATCCCCTAGAGCGGTGATTGGCAAACTGCGGCTCGCGAGCCACATGCGGCTCTTTGGCCCCTTGAGAGTGGCTCTTCCTAAGCCTTAGGAGTACCCTAATTAAGTTAATAACAATGTACCTACCTATATAGTTTAAGTTTAAAAAATTTGGCTCTCAAAAGAAATTTC